TGGTGTATGTGGGACGCTCAATGTCCAAATTACGACGGCAGATATCGTAGATAGCCTCATTGTCGACCATGAAGGCGCAGTCAGAGTGCTCCAGAGTCGTATGCGTGGTCAGAATCGAGTTGTAAGGCTCAACGACAGCAGTGGACACCTGAGGTGCTGGGTAGATGGCGAATTCCAGCTTAGACTTCTTGCCGTAGTCCACAGACAGGCGCTCCATCAGCAGCGAGGTGAAGCCAGAGCCAGTGCCGCCACCGAAAGAGTGGAAGATCAGGAAGCCCTGCAGACCAGTGCACTGATCAGCCAACTTGCGGATGCGATCCAGCACCAGATCGACGATCTCCTTGCCAATGGTGTAATGACCACGAGCGTAATTGTTGGCGGCATCTTCCTTGCCAGTGATCAACTGCTCGGGATGGAACAGCTGACGGTATGTGCCGGTACGCACCTCATCAACCACTGTCGGCTCCAGATCGACAAACACAGCACGGGGCACATGCTTGCCAGCACCGGTCTCGCTGAAGAAAGTGTTGAACGAATCATCGCCACCACCGACGGTCTTATCGGACGGCATCTGTCCATCGGGCTGGATACCGTGCTCCAGGCAGTACAACTCCCAGCAGGCATTACCAATCTGGACACCAGCCTGTCCAACGTGGATAGAGATACATTCACGCTGTAAATGGAAAGAGCAGAAAATGGCGAAAGTTTAATTGCAGGCCAGAGTTGTGCGAAAAAAAAAATCGATAATGACGAAAGCCGCACCCATCCACGATGCCAAACTCTTGTGTGTATCTATGAGAGCGAAAGGGCAAATTTATGTCGAGAAAACCTCCAACGACATGGAAATTAAATTTCTCATAGATTAACCGACTAAATCCCACCGAAAGGCAACAAATTTTTTTTTTTTTTGTTAATTTCGCTACACAACAAACTTTTCAACAATATTTCTTCATGACGTCATCACATTTGCGAGACCGCCATCTTGTAACATGGCTGCGCTCTATGAGTCGCCAATGAAAAATCCCATTTACAAAAAGGAAAATTGTAAAAAAAAAAATAATAAAGTATATATAACTTACCATATTGAGTTTTTATGTTTTTTTCACACACGACAATGAAAATTCACAGAAATATGTAGAGCAACTGCTTCAGGTCTATCTCGGAGAGAATCTACGTTCGAATTACCGGCTATGAGGCTTCACAAACGTATAATGAAATTTTTCTCAGCGACTGCTATTTATACTTTCGGAAACGAAAGTTTTTCTATGTGTTAGTGAGTACAAATAGCACTGATGCTTGATATCGATTCGGCTCTTAAGTTGATGTATCGATATTTATAAAAGACACCACTACTTGGCTCGGCGTTGCCACACATATTAATTCATAAGCGAAATTTTGATCGCGCCTTATTTAAATGCAAATTTTATTTGGAAGCATTTTTACTATGAAAAAAGAATATTTAAAAGCTAGGTAAATATCCAGCTTTTTATAGCCTTAAGCAAATTCTAATTTTTAATAAATGCATAAATATCTAATAGAGATAGCTCCTTCCCCAAAAATTCTACAATGTTGTTAATCAGCATAATCAGTGATTATCAGATTATTTAAATGTTTGTAGAATTTTTTATAAATCTGATTTTTTCTTGCCGAACGCATTACATCTTGTATCTGCCTCGGAAAGCATCGGTAGAAAATTTTTTTTAGCAATTCAAAGAAATCTTCTTAATTGATCTATAGAATCGATCGATTACACTGCAGAAGTATGTGGACTTAGTTGAGACAGCTCCAATCAACTGCGATCAACCGATGATAAGGACGTAGACCATCAATTCTGTTGCTCAGCTGTTTTTAGCAATAAAAGCCCTAGAAGGTAAGAAGAATTGCATTCCTGATTTTGAATATACATATTTTTGTCCCAAACGAGTTTCAACAAAAAGAGAAATCTTAGTTTTGAATGGCTCTACAAAACACGATCGCCTAGTTGACTAGATTCTGCGTGCTATACTTCAGATTCAAATGCTAACGCTTTAAGTCAAAAAAAATTAATAAAAAAAAAACTATGACGGAAAATGTTTAAAATTATTTATAACCCGTCTCGTGGCTTACCTTTAAATCAAACATTACATACATACATTTCATACATTTATAATCTGTGTGTGACAACCCTGCTGAGAATACATACTTATGGTACATGCATATGTAAATGCTTGTATGTGTGTGTATATTTTTCTGGTACCATTCATGCGCGTTTTAAAACGTACTGGTCTCGCGTTTGTTTTGCCTTGCAACTTGGATTAATTATAATTATCTTAAAATGAGAATCGAAGACCCAGATTCATTTTGGCATGATAAAGTGGCGTACAGCAATGCCGAACAACTGTTCTATGAGGGAATTGACAAAAGAAAACCAGAACCTAGTGTGAGTTGATTTTAAAAAACCTACGTTTGAAATGGTGAGCAGCGTTATGTCGACAACGCTGGAGTTCTTCAAAGACCACTAAGGCTTTCAGCTGAATTGTGTAAATTACTCAGTGTGCATTTAAAGTATAGGCATATACATATGTACATGTAAATATAAATGTATTTATATACATGTGCACACTAGAACACAGAAAGTTGATCTGGCAGCCCAAACCGGCAAACTTTCTTGTAGGTGGCTACCCTGTTCAAATCAGCTGCTGCTCACAAAGCGTCCCCCATTTGTTTAAACTTACTTTTTTTTACACACAATAAGGAAATTTATACGAATTTATTTTATTATTAATTGTACAAATTGAACAGAAAGCCGTCCACACCGTCGCTGTCACCACCACAAAAAAGACTAAAAAACGAAAGGCCATGGCGGAAAATCAACAGCAACAGATAAACTTATTATACGTGAGTCCCCTGTAAATTAGAAGAATGCGGGTGAAAAAAATTCTATTATACCACCAACAGCTAAACCCCTTGACTTTGGAGGCGAGCTTTTTCTTGGAAACCCTTGAAGAAGTCAACCGCAAAAGTAATCTACAATTGGATCCATATTTGACGAATTTGCTGGAGCGCATTGTTGTTGGAATTGAGAAGTATCTGGACAGGAAGCCAACCTACATCGTGCCCAAGGCTGCGCAACCGGTTTCCAATAAGCAGCCAACTGCTACAGGAGCTGGGGGACTTACCTTTGTGCCGCCTAGTGAGTTGCAGAAAATCAAGCGAACATTCAACTGTACTGCTTGCACGCATCGCATTGTGGGCACAACAATTGGCAAGGCGGTGGGTCATTTGGCCGAACAACATCCGAATCCTAATCCAAATGGCCCCGTCAATGGACAGCGACCGGTGCAGACGAAGCAGGAGAGAAAGCGTGTTGAGGTGGAAGCACGCGCAAAAATGACCATACAGCTGCCCAAAAGTAAGCAACAAGTGGAGCAGACGTTCAGTGTTAACGGTTTTTCTTGCAGAAGTTAAAGCTCTAGCAACGGGCGATATAGCACATATGTTCAAAGATAAATATCAGGTTGCGGATAAGCTTAAAGTAATGCCCGAGTATGATGACATTGAAAAGGATCTATGCAAGCTACTTACATCCACTTTTCCTAATGAACCTGTTCGCATATACAAGTTCGGATCGCGGATAACGGGTATTGGCACGTGCTCATCTGACCTGGATGTATTTGTAGATATTGGTATGTACTAGATATAACACAACCACTTGCATATTGAATATTGATCGTATCTAAACACTTCACATACAGGCAATAGCTTTCACACATTCGAGCATCGCGCTTCCAAGGATACTCTTTTCAGGCTTCGGGTATTGCGGGAATTGTTCTGTGCAAGCAATGAGTGGCGTATTATCAATGTAGAGACTTTTTGATTTCTACTGTTTCAAGATTAATAACTTGTTCTTTCCCTCGTTTAATAGGTCATTGAACAAGCGAGAGTGCCCATAATAAAGACCTGTCATCTGGCCTCTGGCATCGAGTGTGATATATGCCTAAATAGCTTGGGATTTTGTAACACAAACTTGCTTAAGTATATATTTGAAACGCAGCCACTAGGTAAGTAACTCATAGGCTTGTATTTATGTATATGCATTAAACATCTCGCATCTTCGACCCCTTTTGCAGCTCAGTACATGTGCATCTATTTGAAAACCTGGCTGGAGCGTTGCAAACTAACGGAACAAATATCAACCTACAGCATGGCATTGATGGTTATCTACTTTTTGCAGCTCCAACAACTGCTTCCATCGATTGAACTTATGCAACACGAGGAATCATTGCCAGCCAAGCAGCTGGTGGGACGTGAGTGCTGCTGCTAACAACAAAAATTTGTTGTAATTCCCCTTAATATATTTGTATCGCTTGCAGCTTGGATTGCGAATTTCGCACAAAAGTCACTCAGCGATATGGGAGTGCAACAGATTGAGGTTAGCGTGCCGCTGATTAAAGAGAAAGTGAAAGAACTGTTTGAGTTCTATGCAACGTTTAACTATGAGCGGTACATGGTTTGCCCCTATTTTGGAAGAAAACATGTAGCTATTTCAAAAATTCTGAAAGAGATGCCCAAAAGGTAAATTGAAGATAGAATCATGAATGTACAGGTTGCTCACGTTGATATTTGTCTTTAGGTATACGAAATACGCTTATAACAATCCAGAGTCGGAGTTGCAGATTCAAAAGCCTATGGTTGTTCAGGATCCCATACAGCTGAACCATAACGTGACAAAGGCGGTGACAAAATATGCTTTGAAAACATTTGTTGATTTCTGTGCACAAACAGCGGCACTGCTTGCCACGCCTTCGCCAAATTAGCGCAAGGCTATTAAATTAAACTACTTGAAAATAAAGAAAGCGCGTTCAGTGGAATGAATATTATTCGGAACTCTTCACCACCAGCAACTTCCTATCTTAAGTTCAACTAGTTTTATATATAAGCATACATACGTATGCAATCATAGATAAAAGTTGTTCAAAACTCGTACATCGAATCCTGAAAATTATTAAATGATTGTCGAATTGAATCCAGCGAAGGCGTCTTTATTTAACGTGTCTGGCATTGTGTGTGTGTGAACATACATAAACATATAAAAGAAAATAAATAACGGACACACAAACGTACACAAGGAAAACTTAAAGCCGCCAGGATTTGGGCCACACATCGAAGGTTGTGCTTAGGAAAATGATTGTGATGCATACAATCAAAATTATGCCAAGAAGCGAGAAACGGTTGTACCAATGCTGTTTGCTCTCCTGCATCATGGTATAAATGCGCATGGCAGCGGCTTCAGTCTCGTCCACGTCGCCATTATTGTTTACAACAAAATGCGATTTCTCGCATTTTTTCTCTAGCGGCATTTGCGAGTCAATGCGATTACGCGCCTCCATTTCTGACAGCTCATTTCGAGCTAACAATCGTAGCAACTGCTTATCCGAGTCACTATTAATTTAATAAATTATACAGCTATATATTCTACTAATCATAGCGACACTCACCAGGACACAGTTACAATTTTGTGTATAAAATCCATAAGAATGCCTGTCTCAAAGAGTAATGGCAGGTCTAGCACGATCCAGGCATGACCAGACATAAAAAGCTTAAAGATACGCCAAAATATTGTGCGATGTATTACAGGGTGTGTAATCTGATTTAGTTTCCCACGTAATTCCTTGTTCTCGAAGATCAGCCGTCCCAGTACAGCCCGATTCAACTCTTTGCTGGGCAGCAGTACTTCGTCGCCAAAAGCGGCGCGTATCTTATGCCAGCATGGTTGACCTGGTTCTACAACTGTTGGAAGTCACGTATAGTTAATTTAAGTTGAGGCACGCTAATTGCGCTCAATTACAACATCCCGTACTATGCATAACTTACTCTCCCTGGCAATTTTATCCGCATCGATAACTGGAATGCCATGACGCTCGAAAACTGAGGTCACGGTGCTTTTTCCTGTGGCAATACCACCAGTTACAGCCACAATGAACATATTAAAATAATTTCTTTGGAATGTTTTACAGCCTTTATATTTGTTGTTGACAGTTGTGTAAATTATTACACTGCAATCGGATGGGGGATGTGAATTTATCGATAAGCTAATATTTTGGGTAAGCGTTTTACAACACTAAGTAGGCATGTTTTCAATGTTGTACAGCACATTTTTTCATTAAAAAGTCAGCCATCTTTAACTTTCGTAGATTTTCGTTCTCGTGCGTCGGTTTCAGCAGTTGTCGAAATTTTCACGCGTTCGTGTCAGGAAATCGTTTACAGCGCGAGTTAAAACCAATTTCAACGAAACTTAAACGATCTCTAGCATCTGGAAGGCAAACATCAAATCAGCAAAATGGTGGATAAAATTGAAATGAGTTTGGATGATATCATTAAGTCGACGCGCACACAGAAGAAACCACAGGGTGGTCGCGGTGGACCAAGTGGAGCTCGCCGGCCTGGCGGACAACAGCGATTTGGCACTGGAGGAACACGCCGTGGTGGTGGTCCTAGTGGGGGCTCACCGCGCAAGCCAGCACCAGCGAGTGGTGCCGGCGGTGTGCTCAAAGGTCGCCGCGGAGCCGCTAGCGGCGTAATACAGAAGCCTCGGCTCGCAAGGGTAATTGAAACGATACGTTTTGTCATGTAGAGAGCCAAAAAGCAGCAAAATATCCATGCATATGCATAAAAAGGACAGCCCGAGTTGGACACTCACGATTCTTTGCGAATTTCACGTAATCTGATATAAACAAACACTGATAATATCAAATGTGCTAACAGCTGCAAACAAGGAATCAAAATGGCTACCATATGCAGAATAAACGGTATCTGCACCGTTACTTTACCATGTACCATGCGGACAGGCATAGCTGCAAAATGGCGGCTGCCAGTGGGCATATAAAAATTATAAAAATAAAATTAAACAAAAACATTGCACAGCCGCACTGTTTGGTTGTGTTAAGGATGGCGCGGCATCAGCAGAACTAGAGATACACAGAATTGCATCGAAATCAAACTCATTTATGTATTTAAAAGTTTTACAGACCTACATTTCGTTGAGGATTTAGCGCTTCTTGCGAACTCTTTTTCTTTCCCCGTTTGTAACACGTTCAATATTTCTTTTGCACTTGTCAAAGCAACCAAAGAATGGCAGTCAATCAATGTACATTCATACATATTTAGTGTTTCTGCATTTCTTCGATGGCGTCCTCTTGATGTGGCTAGGATACAACAACTGCTGCTGCTACTACTACATCTCCCACATATTTGATCAGAAACTTGTCCCCACGCGTACCGTTCGAATCAACCAACAAATCTTCTACCTAATCCCCCCTTTAGGGTGATGTAAACAGCGCTTGGAAGCATGATATGTACGATGGTCCAAAACGAAACGGCAGTGCTGGCAACAGTACAGGGCCAACTCGTTTGATAGTCGGCAATTTGGACTATGGAGTATCAAATACGGACATCAAGGAGCTATTCAATGACTTTGGTCCGATGAAGAAGGCTGCCGTGCATTATGATCGTTCAGGTCGCTCGTTGGGTAAGTTAGTCAACACTTTTATCCTCTATGACTTTTCGACAATGTTGCATTTGTATAATCTCCCATAGGTACCGCTGATGTAATATTCGAGCGTCGTTCTGACGCCCTCAAGGCTATTAAGCAATATCATGGTGTACCCTTAGATGGCCGCCCTATGACCATACAACTTGCCGTCTCAGATGTAACCGCCCTGACGCGCCCAGTCCCTGCCGATGATGTGAAACGTCGTGTTGGCGGAGCCGCAGGGTCACAATTTAAGCGCGGTGGTATGTAAAAGTAAAAAAAAATTTCTTTTCCTGTACATAACACGTGATTCGATTTTAGGAGGGCAGGTAGGAGGTGGACCGCGTCGCGGAAGTTTTAAACGTCCAGCTGGAGGAAAACCGGCTGCGGGTGCCCAACGGCGCGAGAGGAAAGCCGCTCCAACTGCCGAAGAACTAGATGCTGAATTAGACTCGTATATTAATGACATGAAGATCTAAATAGCTATAGTATGAACTTAGCCTAAAACAAAAATATTGACTCAATATTATGGTTCAACAACCAGAACAATTCAACGAACCGAACTTGTTCGAGAACAGCTTTTAGTCATAATGTCTATAACATCTTACATAATTTTTCATTTAAATTATACATAATGCTGTTTGGGCTTGCGCATTAATTTGTTAAATGTGTCAATGTGGCGCCATTCTAGTTGATAATTCATAAATACATAAATATGTATTTATTCGTAAACATAATTTTACTTTTTAAAAGAACAATGACAAGATGGTCATGATATTTGTAAAATCAGGTATAATAAATATTAGATATAATGACAAACCCAAGTTTAATATGTGAATAGCTTTCATGTCGTCGAATGTATGTGCCTCTAGAGCTTTTATAGCTGTTAGATCCATACTAATTAATCGTACATTTTAATCCAGCCACAGTCTATATTGATAATTTGATTCAATGTAGGGATGGAAACCTTGTGCGTCCTCTGTCAACTGAGAGTAATATTGCTTCGGCTAGAAGTCTAGCACACATCCTGGTAATTCAAATACGATCGCCTTGCACTTGGAAGTTTTTCATGGGTCTTTGACATTGCTCTTACCATAGCTCTATCAATAAATTTTTATTCTAAACTAAACTGCTAAGGCTCAACCATCCATATCGTTATCGGCTGCAGTCACGCGTCAATCCACATTTGATGTTGGTATCGGCATTTTTTTTCTCACATCAAATTTCCTACGCTAACAAAGAGAAAACTACGTCCTACTGATATATTGAAAGAAATTATATATATTGGCTGAAAACAATAATTTTATCAATTTTTAAATGTTTAGTTTATTTTTTGCAGTAATACATATATATAATTAGAAATGAATTTAGAACAAATTTTGCAGACTATTACAATTTTCAATTGAACACTTAAGTACAAATGCAAAGTCGGGCTTCTTCCATATTTGTATGGTACGTTAGGGCGGATTCGGAAGTCATTTAAAGTTTAAAACATTGCGTATGACGTTATTAAATAGTTTGCGTAATAGAACAAAAACAAATACATAAAATGCAAAAATCAGAGAGCAGGACAAAGAGAGTTGGTATAAAATTCAGCAAATAAATCGCATAACTCTCATTTAAAGTTTTTAGGCATCTTGCGTAGTAGCCGATTTGAAATATGAATATTAATGTAAAGGCTATATAAGTGTATATTAAGCGATTTATATTTATAAATGTATAATGGGGTTGAGGATGCTTGGTGTGTTTGTGTGTGTGTGTGTATGCATGAGTGTATGAGAGCGTCAGTAAATGCGTGACAGCCACACAGCTTAGCCATCTTTCATCTTCTACCAAAAACCTCCTGATGAGTAACCGCCGGGTGGAACACGCCCACGTGCCTGTTCATTTGTCGCCGCCTTGTTGCCATTGGTGCTTTCTTTGGGCTGGCTGACGGGTGCTGGCTTTGGCTCCTCCTTTTGGCTGACTACCTCATCACGTAGCTTCTCCACTACCTTGTTAGCATCTGTCGAGCCTATGCATGCGTTCATATTGGAAGAGTTTTGTTGATTGTATTTGGAACGCGGTGCATTAACAGCTACTTCGGGCTCCGAAAAGATGTTGGTATGTCCACCGCCTGGGGGCTTCAGTACGCGACTGGAAGGACGAGCGCTGGTACCCAAGCCAATTTTCAATTCGGTGGATGTCATATTTAATGCTTATGTTAAAGAAACTGTAAATACAAAAAAGAACAAAATATAAGTATATATATAAATAAGGATAACATACAAATATTTGCTCAAATTTTGTTTTTGCCAACCGAAACTTTCTAGACATACTAAAAGCATGCACTCATTTATCTGATATGTACATAGATACAGTACATAACGAAAACAGTCACGCCACTTACAAAAGCGGCCAACAATGAAGTAACAACGGTGACGGGCGTTAGCCAACTGAACCATGCGGAAAAATGCCAGAATAGAGAGAAACGTTCAACAGATTCAGACAACAGCAGAATGGAACATTCGCACTAACAACATTTACCCCCATCCGCCACACATATACGGCCCAGTCGGCTGTGTTCACTTTTCTACAGACATATACATTTATACATACATTTTACGAATATAATATGTACATACTGTACACATACTTACATACATAAGCTCTATCTCTATTTTTGAGCGCCGCGTTCTTTTGCACTTTCCCGTTAACTATAATTGCGGACCAGCCAGCCACACACTTTCTCATTGTTACCATATTTTTTTTTAGAATTCATTTTGATTTCAAGCTGTTGCACATTATGCACAAAAACATGACTGAATAATTTTTGGTTCCTGAAAAGGGCCATCCAGAATGAAATATATGCATGTAGCTAACAAAAGTAAGTTGGAGGCCCTCAAGTTGCTCTCAATATTTTGTTCAATGTTTTCAAGATTTTGGCAAGTGCGCTCTTCAGCTTGGGCATAAAAGAGGTCAAAGTGGGGGCTACAGGCGGTCACATTTGCGAGTGTTGTACAACGCGGGTAATGATGCGTCATGCTTTGTGGGAGGCGGCAATCATGAGCGAGTTCCCCCCGGGGATGCACAACATACACACACCAGCACAATTATGTTGAGGTATATACAATACATGTACATACATTTAAGACAAAGCAAAGTGAATGACCGAATGATGCAAAAAGTCAAAATTCTCTAAATAGCAGATTTGTATCCTATTGCTCACATTATTTAAAGGAAATTACAAATTCTAAATGGAGCACTCAAATTGTAATGTAATATATATTTTCCTTATATATGTACATACATATTTATATAGATACGTCAATAATTGACAATAGGTATACTTCGATGTGTTGGTCACGTCGACCGGCACTTCTCCGCCATAGGTAACACATACAAATGCGATTACTGTTATTATTAATAGCGGCAGTATGTGTGTGTAAGTATTTTTGTAGAAATTATGAGTAATGAGCAACTGGATGAAACTTGAAATCGAAGTTACGCCGGTTCGATTTTACTCTCTCACTCTCTTGTTACGCTATTGTTAAGGTTTACGACGTTTATTGCCTAATGTCTAGACGCAAAGCGGATGACAAAATTAATTTAGGAAAAAAACATTAAGAAATCGTAATATTAATACATATTTTACGCATATAACAAAAAGCAAATCTAGTTTAACCAGTGCTGACCAACCGATATTACTCATTTAGCTAATGAACATTAGCAGACAAATGGGCTGCGCTGCCTTAAAAGTGACCCGAAGAGCAGCGTCACTTCCACACGGCAAAAAAAAAAATCATCACACATATGCACACAGTTTGTATGTCGTATGTATATGTATAAGCGTATGTATGCATGCCTTGTTTAGCCAGTGCTAAAAGTTCGGTTAAAACTGCCTGTAGCTAGTTTTTAGCCAGCGCATGCGATTATTAAGTATGATGCATGCAGTCGCTCGCCTAAAAAAGCAAAATGCAAACATGGCCACTAAGGCAGCCGAGAGGCCATGGTGCGGTTGGCGAGTGAGGAGCGTAATAAGGAACGTCGGGGTATGGGATGTGCTGTTTTATTTTTATGCTTCAGTATACATATGTACAAATGGCGTTCTGGGAGATGTTCTAAATAAAATATAAAAGCAGCTGCACTACACGAATGCATATATACATACACAACCACAAATACATTTACATGGTTGCCCGTGTGAAGCCCTTCTTCATCATCGGTACCATCATCATTCGCAAGCAAATACATAGTTTGGATAGCCTCAAAATTCCATGACACAAACACACAAGTGAAAAGATGATAATTTTCTTTCGAAACATTATCGATTTTGTTTAGCACAGTATGCAACAAGTCGATGTTGAGCTGCGCTATTTATTAGCTAACACTTACAAATTGTTTACATACCTTTTGTATTTGTTGAGGAAAATTTGCTCTTTTCTGTATAATTATCAATTATTCGGTTATTTGTACTGCGAAAAACGACGCCACCTTCGTCAATGAACGGTTTATTTAAAATGGACTAAGTAGTGTGACCGTAGGCGTAAACATAAAAATGATAAAAATGTTAATACATAGTTGCTCTTAATCGGTAACAGATTTCTGTTAACCGATTTATGAATCGATAGCAATAAGGGTATACCTCCAATGATTTTAATACAAAGAAAGATTTTTGAATAGAATCAAGAACAATTAAATGTTCCGTCAATTATAACAATAACTTTCTTATCAGACTTGAAACGTTTAATGGTGTATGCAGCTAGCTGTGAATTGTCTTGTAAGTGACAGCTATGGTATTAAATTCAATATTTAAAATATTCAAATACCTATTGGCTGAAGTTAATTTCCAAGTCATGTATAAAATTATACATTTTAATTATGTGAACGAATAACATTGCTGTAAAAAATAAAATCTACGTCAATAAGCTGAGTTTGAGAAAGAAGGGACTCTAAAATATATATTTGAAGAAGCAAAATAAAAAAATTCCTTCAAATAACATCTATTAACACTGGCTGGTCACTCTTCGGTTTCGCTGATGTTATATTTTAACAGCTGGTCATTTATCGAAGTTATAAAGTCCAATCAGAAACGCACATTTTGTTTTAAATAAGTTACTACAAGAATTCGGGAAATTTAATTTTCGACACATTTTCCAACTAGACAAATTTCCAGCGAAGGGAGAGTACGGGCCGCGCTACGTCTTATTAAAAATATAAATAAAAATCGGATTACACCGTTACTTTCAATTAAATTTAAATTGTTTCATTTATTATAGAAAACGGATTTTTTTAGGTCATTTAAAGTTAATAATTAACTTAAATCCTTGATGGGTACAGCATCTGAAACAACAGTGAACACATAAGTGAGACAATTCAGATTTCTCCCTAATTTGCTACTTACAATGCGAATGCGGTGTCCCATTGCATGACCGGGCAAATTCCTGTTGAAGCGAGCACGCACAGATCCAGTGTTGCCGTGGATGCGAGTAACTTTGCCCCAAACAGCACGGACACGGGTCTTGCGTTCAGGATGCTGTGGCACACACTTCTTGGTCTGCGCTTTGTAGACATACACGCAGCGCTTTCCAACGTAGAACTCTCCGTGTTCCTTGCGACGAGCGCCCTCAATCTGAAACAGCCACATAATTCAATTATGTTACTAACTTATAAGTTCAGAGGCCTACCTTAAGGATAGCATGGTTTTCGTGCTGGTTCCTCAAACCGCGCTTGTATCCGGTGAAGACAGCCTTTGCAAACAGACGACCATGACGTTTGTATTTCTTGGCAGATACTTTCGTCTCGGTGGCAGCAGCCTTCTCTGCCTTTGGTGCCTTAGCGGCCTTCGGCGCCTTGGCGGCCTTTGGCGCTTTAGGGGCTTTAGACGCAGCGGGCTTAGCTTGTGTGTCAGCCATAGTTCACTGAAAATATAAACAACGAAATTTTAATTACATCGTTACATAAAAACAATTAGAATCCACAATTAGTTGGCTTTTCATTTGTTTTGGTTGGCAGAGTTCTGGGCAACTTGGTTTCTAGCCATAAACATCGGATCGGTTGCACTTTTTAAGAGCACATAAACTTTTAGCTGACACAATACATTGGTTCATCTATGCATATCCACAATAATTTTTAGGTTTTATTACAATATTCGGCTATATTTTCATATTTTTTCAAGCCATAGCATAAAATCCGCGTACATACCGGAAATCTGTCGAATGGCGAAAGAGCGAGACGATGACAGGTCTGTCAGACAGAGCTGCATTGCAGCTGTTTTGTTAAATATATATCGATAGTACATTTCTGCGCAGTGTTGCTGCGCAACACAGAAAATAAATCGTATTGACTTGGGAAAGAAGTCAAAATAAAAAAAAAAACAAAACTATTTCAATAACAATGTTTCCAGAATAACAAAATTAAGAAATTTACAAAATTAACTAGCTCTTGTACCTACTTTAAACTGTATGTACTTGAAAAACGTAACAACATAACTGGTCGCCATACCGCAATTCAGTTGCATAAAAGCTGGTCCAAGATTCTTTTAGGGCGACAACGGACTGCTGCTGCACTTTCTAAAAAATATTGCAATTGACAACAAATGGGTTTACTGCTGCACTTTTTCAAATGGGACAAGCGTTGGCAACTGCTGCATAAATGTGATATATTAGTGAAGCGGAACGTCAAAAAGCAGGCCGTCAGTCCAACCAAGTAAGAGTTTTCTTATTTATCATGTGGGGTCGTGGGTTAAGGAGGTGGGCAGACTGCGCACCGCCAACTAACAAAAAGCAAAAGTTGCATAATATGAATTATACATCTATTATTCTAGACTCGCCGAGGTTGGCCGTCTGTTAGAAGCAAAGGAAGGCAAATACGATACCGGGCAACTGTTCTTGCATCGAATCTTTGGCTATCGCGGTGTTATACTCTTTCCATGGACGGCTCGCGTCTACGACCGCGATTCGGACAATCCTAGGAAGCAGACAACGGCAACAGCAACGCCGACACAATGCGCCAAAGAGGCATCACCACTGAGAGTTAACGCGGGGAGTAGCGAAGGCAGTGGTACAACAGCAACCTCACAGCATGATGATGCTCCCACGGCCTGGCACGCAAGTAATAGTGCCACCGACACGCAGGGAACCACAAATTTGGGTACCGCCAAAACGACAACTAATGCCACTACGAGCAGTGCTACCGATGCCAAAGATGTTAAAGGCAAAACGCAAACCTTTTATCAGGTGCTCATTGATACCAGGGACTGTCCCTATATTGTGAGTGACTGTTTTTGTTTCTCTATTTGCAATAAGCTAACTGAAACGTTATTTTAGCGGGCCCAAACTGAGGCTGTTACCTTTTTAGGTAACCAGGATTCGAATCGGAGCTTGTACGCTATTCCTGGATTGGATTATGTTGCACACGACGACATCATGCCATATTCGTCAACCGATAAGCATCCGTTGCAGCACGAACTTTTTGACAAGTTTTTAACAAATGCTCCAGATTCTGAACCGCCATTTGTGGGTCAAGAGACGCTCAAAGCGTGGCAGGAAAAGAATCATCCATGGCTGGACATGAGCGATGTGCATAAGGAGACAACTGAAAATGTGCGCATCACCGTAATACCTTTCTATATGGGCTGCCGCGAGACGCCCGCATCTTCGGTTTATTGGGTGAGAATAGCCGTATAGAATTTCAATCGTCATCAGAATCACTATACTTTCATTTTTTACTTGTAGTGGCGGTATTGCATACGTTTGGAAAATCTGGGCGAGCTCAGTGTGCAGCTGCGTGAACGGCATTGGCGGATATTTTCATTGTCTGGTACTCTGGAGACAGTGCGCGGTCGCGGGGTTGTTGGCCAGGAGCCCATACTGAGTCCACGACTACCAGCTTTTCAATACAGTAGCCATGTAAGTCTACAGGCGCCCAGCGGCCATATGTGGGGGACTTTTCGACTGGAGCGCGAGGATGGCTACGCATTTGACTGCAAAATACCGCCCTTCTCGCTCGAGTCAAAGCCGGATGATGCTAGCACGCCGCCGATCGGGACGCCCGCAGGCGAAGAGAGTGATTAAAGAAATATACTAGACAAGTTGTTTCGTGGTTAACGATATTCAAACTCAAGTTTTTTTTGACCATTCAGGAAGTACATGTGTTTAGAACAAATAAAAATATAATGGACTAGCAACACCAAAGCTATCCCAGCTTCACGTTTTTGGCCTCTAGTTGCATCCGAAAGTCAAAGGGACGTCGATTTTCGTGCATTTCGAAGACCGTTTGCAATGCATCGATAGCGGCAGTCTCTGTAGCTGTCTGCAGATTCTCTCCAAATCCCTTGCCCAGCAATTGGCGATTTGCGTAAATGCCAACTTGGAATGCAGCCAGCACAGTATTTTTGCCGCAATCGCCCAACAAGCGTGGCTCTGGCTCACCCAATTGCCGCTGTGTGCAGACTTCACTGAGTAACTGCAATGGTTGCTCTGGTGTCCATATCTCAAGCAAATCCTTTTGATTAAGTTGTGTGCAAATAAAATCTCGCACAAATAAAAATGCGCGCTCTACGCCACTTGAATCAGCCAGCGCTCCAATGATCGCCTGCATAGTTTGTGCTAGTGTTTCGCTGCTTGGTGGATACTCTGTGGAAAAGATGAGCTCTCTGGTTCCCAGGTGAGTGGATACATGAGCTAACGTTTCAGTGCTTAACAGGTACGATGCAATTGCTTGATGTCCAGCCGATGGCACTTTGGGTAACGCATGTTGCAAATAGGCTTCCACATAAGCCTTGGCAATGTGTGCGCCTTTGGCCGCCAGTTGGCTGTTGTCGGCTGTTTGCAGGTCCGCTTCTGAAATACCCAGCTTCCGCTGGCGCTCCTGTTCCCGATGCGCATATGTGCTCTGCGTAAATGCTGTCTGCAGCAACGGCAACTGAAATTCCTCATTCAATCGCTTACCGAAAGCAAACAGCTCTGAGCGGTAGTTCCATTCAACAAATCCAGAGCGTGGCTCCGGTTTCTGTGGTCCTTGTTTTTTAACCCGATGGGCTAGCTCACGTAACGTTGGTGAGACCCAACGTTTAAAGTGTCGCTGTGTTTGAACTGAAAAAAATGGTACTTAATATATGAACTTCACATATTTCTTATAATATACTTGTATTGGCATTGTTAATGGGCCTCGCAAGTGCTATTACACCGGCAACACAGCGCAATAAGGACATATTTCTTGTTAAATTAAAAATACTCAATCAAAATGTTGGTACATATGGATAACAGTATTGCCACCCTACGTCTTTATGATTACAAAATAATCGATAATTTTAATTATTTAAGCGATAAGTTTGTTGCGATATGTCCAATTGGTGCAGCCCTGTATTGGCACAATATTCCTGAGAGCTGGTCACCTTAACGACGCCATGTCGCTGTTAGCATGAAAATTTTGTTGTAACCAAAAGTTGTTGAAATAAATTATTTGATAAAAAGTATCTATAATTTGCATAAAGCAGAGTTTGCTGCACAAGTGTACATACGCTTTGAAGATGGCGCTGCAGACATACGGTGATAAGCCAGTGGCATTCCAACTGGAAGAGGGCGGCGAGTACTATTATGTGGGCTCGGAGGTGGGCAATTATATGCGGCACTTCCGTGGCATCCTCTATAAAAAGTATCCGGGTATGACCCGTATTGTTCTCTCCAATGAGGAGAGGAAGCGTCTCGCCGATTCTGGCCTCAGTTCACACATATTGGCGAGTTCGGTGTCGCTACTCCGCGCTGTAGAAGTTGATGATATTATGGCCGGCAATGATGAGAAGTGGGCTCAGTCTATCTATATCATTTGTTTATTTGTATTAACATTCTAACTGCATTTCTAGATATCGCGCCGTTTCGGTAAACACTTCGGATACACCAGTACCGCGGGAGAGCAAATCAAAGAAGCAGCCACAATATGTACCAACAATGCCAAACTCAAGCCACCTAGATGCAGTGCCTCAGGCAACGCCTATCAATCGCAATCGGGTGCACACTAAAAAGGTGCGGACATTTCCCATGTGTTTTGACGACACAGACCCAACCGCGAGTCTGGAAAACGCAGCACAGAAAGAGTGCCTAGTACCCATACGCTTGGATATGGAACTAGAGGGGCAAAAGTTGCGTGATACTTTCACATGGAACAAAAATGAGAGCATGATAACACCTGAACAGTTCGCCGAAGTTCTGTGCGATGATCTCGATTTGAATCCCCTGCCATTTGTTCCAGCCATTGCACAGGCTATACGCCAGCAAATCGAAGCGTTCCCCAATGATCCGCCCATACTGGAGGAGAGCTGTGACCAACGCGTTATAGTCAAACTAAACATTCACGTGGGAAACACATCGCTTGTTGACCAGGTCGAATGGGACATGTCAGAGAAAAATAATAATCCCGAAGAGTTTGCCATCAAGCTATGCGCCGAATTGGGTCTGGGCGGTGAATTCGTTACGGCGATTGCGTATAGCATACGGGGTCAACTATCATGGCATTGTCGGACCTATGCGTTTAGCGAGGCTCCCTTGTCCACAATCGATGTGCCCTTTCGCAATCCGAGCGATGCGGACGCATGGGCACCATTCCTAGAGACTCTAACCGATGCCGAAATGGAAAAGAAAATACGTGACCAGGACCGAAATACTCGACGCATGCGACGTTTGGCCAATACAACAACGGGCTGGTAGTCGAAACGGATTGTTCCTGTCACCCCATTATTTATCAATGCACACGGCTAAGAGTTGGAAAAGTCCATAAATACTTTTAGTGGCACAACCAATAATATCGCAATCAATTGAGTTGATAATTTTCCAGCTCTAATAATAGTGATTATAAACAAATCAAATATTATCCGCGCTGTAGAATACTTACAATGTTTTAAGTCGCCAGCATTTAATGTATTTAGTTATCTTATAATTATTTTCGATAAATTTATAATCACTATTAAGGATTCGTGTAAATTTGTTGCATGGTACAAACTGCGTTCATCATTGTCCAGTTTTGGTCGGCAATATATAAATATAATAAATACATGTCTGTCTATTTTAAAGCCAAAGGTGGCAAACTTGTTGTTCATATCTTAGATTGTAAGCTATCGTGACATTATTGTTTAGAATTAACTTTCTACTGAATCTGGTTTGTCCTGATCTTGATCACCATCATAAAACTCGTTTTTTGCTTCAACCAATTTATCCTCATCCGCCTGTGACATGCGCACATCTGGGTCCGTTTCCTCCTTCATACGTAGCTCCTCTAGATCAACGTCCGGCGGCGTTTGCACCATTTGCACACTTGGTGAGTGCTGGCACATTTTTAGATTTTCATACACATGCTTCACGATCAGCTCCAAGTACTGTTTTGAGTTAGCATTGTCCTGTCGTGAGTTGACCTCTGGATGTAATGTGAAGTCGGGCGCAAAGAAATCATAGTACTCCGTTTCGGGCAAGTCGTTAGCAATTTCCTGGTCGACTAGAAGCGAAGTTTCGTGTGTCCAGCAGCGTGCTACGTTGCGCAAAGTGTATCCACCACCGCCCACTACCAATGTAGGCACATTTAACCCCCTGACAAACTTAACGCACTCGCCATGACCGCGAGTACTGAGCGAGAAGCAGCCTAGACGATCTCCAGCCAATGAGTCTGCGCCACATTGCAATACAATTGCTGTCGGCCGATAAAAGTCCATAATTGCTGAAATGATCGGCTTGAACACTTGAAAGTAGCTCTGATCATCAATACCCTCCTTGAGAGGCACATTAACGCTATAATAGCGGCCAGACTCGGCACCAATCTCATACATATCACCAGTGCCCGGAAAGAAGTAGTTGCCATATTTGTGAAAAGATGCTGTCATCACGCGATCCGTTAAATAAAATGCTTCCTGCACTCCGTCTCCATGATGCACATCGATGTCTATATACAGAACACGCGGATGATACTTTAGGAGCTCTAATATCCCAATTACAATATCGTTGACATAGCAAAAGCCGGAGGCCTCAAATTTTTTGGCATGATGCAGACCGCCTGACCAATTAATGCATATATCACTGTGATGGTGATTCAGCTTTTGTGCGCCCTCCAGTGAAGCGCCCGTGTACATGGCGCAAAAGTCAAAAAGCCCATCGAAGACGGGACAGTCCTCGCCCACGCTAAAGTGAGCCAAATACTTTGTGTAAGCGACGGCTGCAAGTAGATACAAGATACAAAAATAAAATGAGAGTGGAGTTGTAGGCGCATGGGAGGTCGTCACTTACAATTGCATTGAATATTCTGTGGAGTCACCTGCTGCAGGTAGGCGATGTATTCATCACTGTGAAACCGCAGCATATCCTGTGCACTTGCTCTGTAATGAGGAAAAAAGGCATTTAATTTGTCGTGTTCAATTGTAAACAATAACAATTGCTTACTTGTACGGCCTGTAGATTTTCATCTTCTTGTCCAAGCCATAGTTCATAACCAGGCTGTGAGTGACGGCCAAGCGCTGCGGCTTCATCGGATGCCCTGCACCATAGTGAAAATTGCCCACATTGGCATTGTAGAAGTACGACACACGTCTATCAGTCATCTTTATATGGACTATAAGCTAATCGCTGTCCAATACCACTCCAATTTGGGCAAAATATTATTCTTTGCATAAAGTACAATCAGCAGAACAGCTACAATAAACAAAAGTCGCCGCGTTGTGGTCAGCTCGTTCAAGCCCAGTAACATGCCGTTGCCTCCTAAGCCCTTATTATATTGCGTTTTCGTTTAAGTGCAAGAGCTTTGGCTCAAGTAAAATTGCATTATAACAAATGTTTTCTAATTTGTTTCAGAATCTTTTATCATATTGTTAAAACTTCACTTATGTTTATGTATATATAATCGACTAACAATTCGCTGTTCGTAACCGTAAGCGGTCGGCTTTTAATTCCACTTAAAATTTTTGTTTAAACACTTTATTTATTTTTTTCGGTGTTTCTTTTTGACGCGTGTTTTTTGTGTTGCCTTTTGCTCTTCGTTTGCCTGCTAACTTAACAGTGTACTGAAATGTTATTAACAGGGTGCATCAATGTCTGACAATCTGCCATTACATATATCTGTTAAGAAAATTCCAGAATTTTAGTAAAGGTATTCAATGACAAAAAGCTTACATTAAAATGTATTATTAATGAAATATGATATTTGTGTCAAAAATAATAGTTAAAAACTTAGCACATCCAAACGTTCTTACTTTAGAACCATATCGATATCAATGGTGTTGTCTTGATTTATCGATATCGATTTTAAGCAGGGCTTAGGCAGTAAGTGGAACTGGATGTAGGGCTTTTGCACAACCGGTAAGATTTGTAACTAATAGTTCAAAGAAAATATTAAATATATAGACTGTTAACTTGGAAATATATAAAAGATAGGTATTAGCGTTATGCCGTTTTCCCGTATTTAAAATTCTAGAATATTTAAAATTCAATAAAGAAAATGTATATTTTAAAAAACTTGTTAGAAAGAAATATTATAAATTATAGATTTAGCTCAACAACAAACAAACAATAAAAACAATTCTTTGTTAAAAATAAATAATTAAAATGGTAGAGCTAGGTAGTTAAATTTCCAAATTGTATACATATCGTTGTATTCATTTTGTTTGTTTTATTTAAAATATTCTATTGGGATCCATTTTTAAATGAACAGCTGATTTAAACGCTTCATTGTGAATGCCGCACTTTCTTATCAAGAATTTTGATAAGCTTTGATGCGTCGCGTCGAATTTGCGTGTGCAGTAATCAACAATAAATGTCATGGCACAGCGGAATGCAAAAACTGTGTCAAACCGTTGCTAAGGAAGCCCGGAAGAGGCAGAGTGCTCCAGCAGTGATAAAAGCAAATCTAATTTGCTTACATTACGAAACCGCAAATTGATTTTGCCAGCTTTGGCAGCAGCCGTGTCCATATTATTGTGCGTGCGTTATTGTGTCAAATGGTCATACTTTAAAACTGAAGCTTTGTGACCGTTGCCCCCAGTTTGTCCAAGATGTTAACCCTCTATTACGTGAGCGCCACCTTGTTGCAGTCCTGGCGAATTCAAAGGGCTTGCAATAAAATTGCTGAACAGCTAGCCCAGTCTTCGAGCGTTGCCTTCTATGCAATCCAACCTGGCAACGACGATGGCTTCGGTGAGTAGTGTAGCACACCGAACTGTGCACACTCTACGGCTGTATGCAACCTCCATATTAATCATTTTTGGTGTTTGTTGTCGTGTGCGAGCAGATGCTACAATTGCCAGCTCGGAGCTGTGCGGTAATCGCAATGCGGCCAAGGTCACGGATATATTGTGGTTGCATGGCAATCAGCACGGTTGCTGCCTGCGTCCATTGCAAACGGTGCAAATTACGCCATGGATTAGTTTTCCTCCTGCGCCCAGTTGGCTGCCGTTCGCCTATGCAGCCGACACCGTTACACCCACTGCAACTCCAACGGAAATCGAACCGCAACCCAGAATAACTCTGTCACCGGATGAGAGTCAACATTTGCAACTATTGCTTGAGGCGCAAGTAGAGCTGCAACGGGAAGCGGGCGCCCAACACAGCGTACCGGTGCGGGTAAGTCATATGCGATTTTTTAGGTAGCTGTTGATTTAGTCTCTATTTTGAAATCCGACACCTCCGACTCTTGATTAGTACCCATAGCCAAAACGATAAAGAAATGTGCACCTTCTTGTCTGTTTGTGTGCGAATTATTCCCTGGGTTTTAAGCTAGACTGGTGAAACCTTTCCTAACTTATGGGTCGGATCGGGCTCCGTTGGCTGACATTGGCTAACATATTGGCAAAATCTTATTAGCATCGAAGTAGTTTCAGTTATCCGTAAATTGAGTTTATTTACAAATATCCCAAACAAATGAATATGTGAAATGGGTCTGTAAATTATAATTTAATTTTAAAAAAGTCATCTACAGATTAGATTATCTACATTTAATTCAAACACTTTAGTTTTTACCAGCTTTAATTCTGTCAAGCGAATTAAAGCACTTTTTTGCGTGTGTTTGGTCAATAAAAAAGATTGCGTCATATCTAAGCTATTTTCGCAAAAAGTATGTATGTATAATGCAGATTTTGTTTACTCGTCTCTTTTCATGCTGTCCCTGTATCAATCACCGCCGTCGTCGTCAGCTGGAATCTTATGGTAAGCTAATTGCATGGAAAATAGACTCCCACCTGGCAGTACTCATCGAAACGGATGTTGAGCATTTCACAAAACTATTGATAATGACATTTTTACAAAATAATTTATTCATTAATGATCAGCTGCCACTGATGAGGATTGAGTGTAAGCCCAGTAGCTGATTGCAATTTGAATTGATAAACACATAATCTAACAATATCTATCGTATACATTTGCAGCTGTGCAACGAGAGGGTCAACCGCAGCCGTTTGAACTGCTGGCCAATCATCTGAAGCGGCAATCGCGCAATGCGGCCGAGATTAGTGCGGAGGGCTGGCAAAAGCATTTAGAGGATCTACGCGCACTAAGCGTACTGGCTCGCCAGGCTACCGAATTTGAGCAGCAAAAGAATCGGAACGAATTTAAGGCAAGCATTCCTAAGCAGGACTTGTTGCTTCAGCGACAGGCGGAGCAGTCGCCTGCAGCAGCACAAAGCATTATAAAGGCTGTAGCTGTAGTGGAACCCACCACCAAGACGCCGTCTCCCGCCAAGCCCACTCAATTGAAGAAACCGGCTTCACCTGAAGATATTGGAAAAATTACTACGGCCCTCAAGTCGCCCACGCAGTTGACTCAGCCTTCTCCAGCTGAAAGTCTTTTGAGCAACCCCACGGAAGAGGAAAAAACGGTTATCACCACGCCAACAGCAGTCCAGGACACCTCAACCATGGCAGCGGCAAACACATCAACGCCCAGCAAAAGCTTTGTTGCCGTCAAGCCTAATTCGCCACCGCCGAAAGCCGCAGCCTCCACCCGACCGCGTCCCGTTTTGCGCCGTAATAAGGATAGCCTGGGCGAGAGTAAACCCCTGAATGTGCTTGTCTATTCGGACAGCGCCAGTGCACGTGATTCGGCAATGGCAACTCTTCGCCAGCTTCTAGAGCCTGATGTGTACACCATTTATGCACTAACTCCGCAACAGGCGGGACAAAAGCACTGGCTCGAGCAGACGGCGCTGCTGGTGGTATGCGGCTCTGTTGCGCCGGCTATTGGCCAGATATTGGTCGACTATTTTCTGCATGGCGGCAAGGTCTTGAGTCTCTGTTCGGATATTTTACACTTCATCTTGCCTAACTATCGCACGGCGGAGGTGAGTTTCATCGCGTGTCACAAAGCTAGAGAAATCCAGGTTTTAAACCCATTATTATTATTTCAGGTTCGGGAAAACGAGTTGGTTCAGTTCTCCTATGACAAGTGGCAGCGGGTGAAGATGATGCATCACATTTTCTGTTACCAACCGTCTCCGGTTAAGAAAAACTTTTCCACCGACAGCGAGGAGTCTTCCAGCCAAACGCATTCACGTAAACCGTAAGTCATCTTGTGTGTGATTTAAATACACTTAAACATTCCACACAAGATATACATAAATATTAAAAATTAGATTTCGATTTAATTCCACAAACTGAAGTGGAACTATTTCGAAATAAAATTCATAATGAACACGCATTTTTGACACACATCGGAGAGTTTTCCATGCAAAAGCTGCTATTACGTCTTCATATGTATATATAGATTAGATAGTTTGTTCTTTTATTACAATGCATGTAATGTTGGCTAAGGCGACTACGATTTGGGTTTTCCCAGCCATCGAAATGCTGCATACTTGCAGGCGCACGCTAGAATCTATCAAGTGCAATAATATATATTTTTGGAACTAACTGTAAATACGCCAATCTTAATATTGTACTTTCAAATACCTTAACCAAGATATATAACAACAAGTTTTTACTAATTCCAATCTCTTTTGTGTTTCTTGAACCTTTCATGCTCAAATTGGCGCTATTTCTGTACCTTTTTTATAATCGAATCTATGATGTTTAAATCTCATGTTCATATGTGTTTTCTTGTGTGTCGTTTAAAAATCTATTCCATATTTTTACAAATTCTTAATTGGTCTATTGCACTTCCTTTTTTAAATTTACAAAACTCCATTAAAATGTACTCTTATTTTTATGAATCGCGCAATGAATTTGATAATCGGTCTATGATTGATTTGTTCTGCTTGATTTTGAGTTCTCTTTAATTTTTCCATTCCCTTTCGTGTGATCTCTCTCTCTGACTTTCTCTTTTCTGCTTTGTGTCTGTGTGTGTGTCTGTGCTATATGTGTGCCCACTACTATTATCCTACCCGCTATTTCCCAAAACTGAAACGATAACACTCACAACAACAACATGTTAAAATACAAATGAAAAAACCAAATCAAAATACGAAACGAACGCCGCTTAGAGCTCTAGTATGTCCAAGGTCCATGGATTTGAAGGACATGACCGGTCAGACCCACCAGCTGGACGTTAAAGTACTGGGCACTGAGGAGACCTGGAACACGCCCAGTATATTGCTGGCTAACAGTTTGCGGAGCGGCGGTAAAGCCGTCTTCTCTCAGGTATATTTCGAATTAAATAACTATAGTTAACTGACAATGATATACAAATAATTTTTGTTGCAGGTTCACTTGGAGACAAATCCCAGTGACTTTGAGTTTGATGAAATGAAGTTCGCAATCTTGAAACAAAGCGAACGCACACGCATCGAGATCTTTACGGATATCTTGCACAAGTACCTGGATATCGAGGTGCAAGTCAGCGAGTCACAAGTTCCTGCCCCTGCCGGAGTTGTCTTCAAGCAGGCCTTCTTCTTAGGCCGTCATGAGGTGCGTAGCTATCTACTATGCGCCTTGCCTTGTGCTAATCATTTTGCTCGTTGCAGTCGAAATTTGAACTGCTGGAGAAGCTACGTCCACGTTGCAGCGGTAATGACGATGTCATCGTTACGCCCAAGCTGACTATTAAGTTCTGTGGCAAGGATGATAAGGCGCCGGTGGCGAACACAAATGTGTTGCCCATTGTGATACATTCTTGTCCAGACGATTTCTCCACCGTTGACTACTTTGATGTGCGTATTGTAATTCAAAATAGCTCTGTATAATTATGACTTAAGTTGTTCCATTCTTGTAGAATCTGAAAACGGAGCACATTGGACGCTTGGTTATCTATGCGCCAGTATTAACTAGTTCGATGCATGTGATCAACGATCTGGAGCTGATGCATGGCCTTGCTGTGCTGCCACGCCAGCAGACAGCGGGCACGGGTCGCAGCGGAAATCAGGTAAGTGATCTAGCCGCAACTTAAACATTCAACAATACAATTCTATTCGACTTTTCTTGTTTGACTCACTAGTGGCTGAGTCCCATGGGCTGCGCTATGTTTTCTACACAGCTGCACATCGCCATGGATACGCCACTGGGCACACGCCTTTCCTTGATACAGCATATGATAGGAGCTGCTATCGTGAACACCCTACGAGGCCATAAACTGTATAGGGTAAGTGATTATGTATGATAAACTAGAACGAAAAGTGCAATTGGTTTTTGCATTGAGAACCCGAATAAGCCAAAACAGTTGACAGATTTGTTTGGTAATATATCGGCTTTAATAAAAATATTAATTATTTTTTGCACAACAAATATTTTTTTTAAAACATAATCTGAACATTTTGTATGCCTTCTGAGATATATGATTTTTCTTAACCATCGCAAAAGACGATTGTTTCGGCAATGAGCCATATAAATGACTTTTATTTTGTTCAATATTTCGCACAATTTTTGCACTTTTATATAAATTCCGAATTAGAATTTCCTAAATACGATTATAAATGCAATACCTACGGTTTATGTAGCTCCAGTAAAATTGAATCGAACAGTGAAGCAGATGGTGGAGACAACCATTAAGTATCTGTTTGTATATTTTGAAGCTTATCTAGGGGCTTCAATAGAAATTGGTCTAAAACGTTCATATCGATTTCTGTTTTGTATGATCTTTCGGATATCTATTAAAACTGAACTATATTTTGGGAATATCCATAAAGTTTACAAAGAATAAGAACTCTGTGGAAATTAATTGGGAATTTCTGAATTCAATTTTTGATATTGCATCGTTATAGCCAATTGCAAATGTTACAATAAATTTAGATTTGTAGTGATAGTTTATTTTGACATTTTTTTCGTATATTTTGCATTCAACTTGTTTGCTACTATATACATTTTACATATGTATGTATATAATTGTTTATATATAGATATATAATATATACCTAGAGCTTTGCTTACACATAATTAACAATTTTAAAATTGCTCACCTGATTTACGTTTACATTTAGATTTGCCACAGTGCTTGGTTTTTCTTTAATGTATGTAATTTGTAATGTCTATGCCTATGTTATGCGTTCGGGTTTGCTTGTTGCTCTTTAACATTTAAACATTGTCTTTTAATTAAACATTTGTTTTCAATACATAATTAAAGATAAAAATATTTTACAATGCGTTTGTAAATTGCTATAATTTGGATATACATATATGTATAGTTTCGTTTCATTTGCTTTAAATGTATATTTACAGTTTTTGTTTTTGTAACACATGCACTTTGAACTTTTCTTTGAGAGTCGTAGAGTCGTACACATACATACACATAAGAGGCTGAGGAAGTGAGCTTTGCTCTCCGCATTCTCTTGCTTCCTTCACCGGAGAGCTAATTTCACATTTGACATTTTGCACGCACAACAATTACAGTTAAAGTGACATACATACATATGTATGCATATGTGTGTAGTTTACATTTACATATAACGTGAAATTGTGCTAAATAGAATCAGAGAGTGTGTGTGTGAGTGTGTGTGCGCGCCTGCTTACATATATGACATATGTGTCTATAAACGTATATATTTTTATATCGGCTGGTTAGAATACAGATTCCGCTGAGCGCGAGAGGTTAACGGGATGCGAGGGACTGCGTGCCAAGCGCTTCTTTGGCAAATGCTCCAGCAAGGAGAGCAGGCGTGCAAAGTCCGGCCTGTGCTCCTTTTCGTAGGTCCAGCACAGCATCAGCAGGTCCTTGACATCGCGACCAGACTGCAGATTGGCCAGCGACTGTTTCATGCCGCGCCCCACTTGCCAAATGATAGACTCAGCCGGTTGATCCTTGAACGTGAATTCGCCGCAAATTAGCTCGTACCAAACGGTGCCAAATGAGTAAACATCCGAGTAGGACGTGAACTCTAGACACTCGCCGGGTGGCTTGCACGGTTGCAGGGCGCGTATTAGTTCCGGGGCCAAGTAGCAGAGCCAGTTTTGTGGAACACCCAAGCCCATATCACAGTACAGCAGCTTTGTGGAGCTGAAGAGGCCAAAGTCCGTTATGATCACCTTGCCGTTCTCTATAAAAATGTTCTTGGTGCGCAGATCCTTGTGTATTATGTCTCTGGCATGCAAATAGCCCATGCCCTGCGCAATCTGTTGGGCAATCAACAACGTGCGATTCATTGCAAACTTCTCCCTTCGCTGATGTATGTAGGTGTACAGGGTGTTGCCCTTGCACAGCGCAGTGACAATCGCCAAATACGGCGGATTCATGCAGGCACCCATGAACAGCACCAGATTCTCGTGGCGCGTCTTCTTGAAATTGGCCACCTCGTTGCGAAACGATTCCAGCATGTGCTCGTCTTGCAGATAGTCTTCATTGAGAAGCTTCACAGCGACATCGCCATGCCACAGCGCGCGATGCACAGTGCCAAATCGACCCTGTCCAATGCGCTCCAACAGGTGCAAATCGCCATAGGGTATATCCCATTCCTTCAATGATATGGAGTTCTGCCGCCACTGACCCGAGTCGCCATCCTCTGTGGAGTCCAAACGCACAGGCGTGCGATCAGAGTCAGTGCTGGCGCTGCCCGACAACGAAACCGTCTTGTCGCTATCATTCGACTTGTGCGTGTCCGAATATTCGCTAGTAAACGGCACCCGCTTGTCCACACCAGCATTGCTCAATTTCCGCGGAAAGAAACTGCCGCTGTTCACCAGACTGGAGGTGTAGGTGGCACTGCTGCTGCCACTCACATTTGACACTTGCGAGGTAGCCGAATGCGTGGACACTTGACTGCCAGTCAGGGAGTGCAGGTGACCATTGGAGCAGCTGCTGCTGCTGCTGTTGTTGTTGGCACTGCTGCCGTTGTTAGAGCTGCTGTTGTTGTTGCCATTGGTCAGCGGCTCTGTCGAGGACATATGCGATTGCGACTCATTGGATATGAGCGTTTGAGCGGCGCTGGCGTTACTATTGCAGGCATTGATGCTTGTGATGGTCACGTTGGGGAAATTGAATTGACTCTGTTGACCCTGTTGGGCTGCTACCACCGCTGCTGGTGCTGGTTTCGGCTGGCAGGCGCTGGGCGTGGCCAGTTGCAGCTGCTGTTGCTGGAACAATGCTGGACTGCTGGGCGTTGAGCTGGTACAGCTCGAGCTCGGTGAGCTGCTGTCCCCATGCTGCAGCTGTGGCTGTTGCAATTGCGGTTTGCCCAGCGTGCTCTTCCTAGGCACTGGCGACGCCTTGCTGCTGCTGTGCTGTGCTGGGTCCCATCTGCCGCCTACCTGAGTTTGGCGAAACTCGTGAACATATTCGGGTGGCAGGCCACACGAGGGCGGCACATGCGGCGCACAGGACTTGTGGCAAATGTATTTGCAGTCGGTGCACTTGAACCAGTGGCTCATCATCTGTTTTTGGCACAGTTTGCACGTGGCCATGAAGCCAAACCATTTGCTGAAGCGGTGCTTAATGGTATGACCCATACCCACATGCGCCACACCTGGCGAGGGCGGCACTAGTAGGACATTGGAGTTGTTGATGCTGCCACCATCTACAAAAAAGTCCGAACTGCTGGCCGAGCTGTGGCTATCCGGGCTAGGATCTGTGGGTAGGCGGCTCCGCGGTGGCCGTGGAGGCTGCTCCGTCAGTGCCGTCTCCGAAGCGCTGCTGTTGTGCATGAGCAGCGTTTGATGCTTCTTGGCGGGTGGTGGCGTTCCCGCCGCTGTTGTCGTACTGCGGCTGCGCTGCGGAGTGCCGCTGGCGGATGCCGTCCCTGAGGCGGGCGTGAAGGGCGAGTTGGGTGGCGAGGGCGTCAGTGTTAAGGTCAACTGAGAGCCAGTCAGTGGTTGCTGTTCGCTGCGGGAGCTTGAGGCAGAGTTGTTAACAATTTTCGGCTTGCTGTTTCCGTGTTGATGTTGATGCTGATGTTGATGCTGATGCTGACGATGATGGGCGCGTGGTGAGGCGCTGCTCAGTCCGAGGCCAATATTGCCAATGCTGCCGCGGTGCACGTGATGCGGATGGGGTCGATCCCACGAGTCCCAGTGCCATTGTTCCGGATCGACGTTGGACGCGACTGCGCCGTTGCTGTCCAGCGTTTCCATGCATTTTCGGAGATTATGCATCGCTTTGGTCAGACGCCGCAGTTCCTCGTCCAGCTGGGTACTTGAATTGTGGGCAAGCAGTTGTTTCAGTTCTTCGTCGCTTAGCTGCAATGTTTGCTCCAATGTCGTTAGACGCGCTAGGCATGCATTCAGAGACTCCGGACTGAGACCAACTACGCGCAGCCATTGGCGCAACTCGTTCCCGGTAGCCTGATGATGGGGCAGCAGCCCGTTGGCGGGTATACGTTCGTTGAGTCTCGTTTTGGTCAAGAGCAGCTCGGAGAAGTAGCGCACCAGCTTGGACTCTAGGCAGCGGATCTCCTGTTGCGTCAGAGTCGCGCTCGTTGCGCACTGTGTTCGCAGACCCTCCAGATGGTTGGCCGAGAGATCAATCATATCCTGTATGATGATTAGATTGCTTTCGCTCGCAGTCGTCGTTGTATTGTTGTTACTGCTGCTGTTGCTGACTGGCGGCGCAGTCAGCTGGGCGGCGGCGCTGCTGCTCATTTTGTTGTGGCCCGCCCGCCCCTTCCAGCAGTACAAACTGATTGATTTTTTCAGACGCACTTACAAATCATTTGTTGTTTGCACCACTTTGACACACATTCTGTCCACATCAACCAGCTTTTTTCGCTTGCTGCAAGCACACATGAACAGCCCTGCAAAATGCGGACTTCGAGAAAGCTTCTGCTATGAGAAAAACGCGAAAATTTTAATAGTTTTTGGGGGGCAGACAGAACGGGTGCCGTGTTGTCGCCTGCACGCACGAAATTTCTCTACACCCAAGTAGTAGAGCTGCGTAACTATCGTCGATTGTATCGAGGTTTTTTTTTTTGATTAGGTAGATTTATCGATTAATTATTCTATCGTAATATATCGTCTATACCGCATTTTAATATGAATTGATTTTGAAATATTTTAAATACTATTGGAACCATTTATAAGTATTTAAACGAAATCCTTCCTATATAAAATAAATTTTTTAATCTAAATTTTTAGGTTGATATATAGTAAGACACATATATTTTCCTTAACTGAACATAGTTCTCTGTTTACAGATCCCGACATTCACGTTAGATCACAATTAATCAAACAAATATGGTTTTGCTCTGGCTTTTTGCAGGTACTCGATATAGCTTTAAAATGGCCAAATGATATTATTGCCAATGGAAATTACAAAATTGGTGGACTTGTCGTCAATACCACTTTATTGGGCTCGCAGGCGATTGTAAATATTGGCAGCGGAATTAATTTAAGCAATTCAAAACCGACGGTCTGTATTAATGACATGATAAATGAGTATAATGTGCGAATGCCTAATGCTAAATTGCCTTTACTCAAATATGAGCAATTTATGGCAATGATTTTTAATGAAATTGAAAAAATATTGTCTGAAGTACAAAACGGAGATTTTGATACTTTCTACTCCTTGTATTATGAACTTTGGTTGCATAGGTAAAATTATTAGCTTTAAAAAATATTGGAGATATTTTTACTATATATTATATATTTTAGCGATCAGCAAGTTACTATTTGCCTGCAAAATGATCAAGAAAAGGAAGCCACAATTATTGGAATCGATGACTTTGGATTCTTAAAAGTAAAACTAGCGAATGGAACAATTGAAACTGTTCAGCCCGATGGAAACAGTTTTGATATGCTAAAAGGATTGATAGTACCTAAATACAATTAGCTTAATTATTAAAGGAATTCTTATATAATACTAACTATTTATTCCTAACTATTTTTGTGTAAACTTATATATATATATACATATATACATATATACATACTCGAACTAACAACAGTTTCGAATTTTAGATGCATTTAGATATACTTGTTAATTATATCCAATTATATATTTTCAAATTTCTTCACTTAAAGTGAACATTAATTCGATGCTTATAATAACATATTACAGAATATTTGGATATTAACACTGCCAATCTCTAACAGAATTCAAAATAATATTGTTCTAAAATTGCATCAAAATCGTGAAATTGCCATATAACCAAAATATTTGTGTCTTAAATCTTGAAATCGTTGTAATTGAAAAAATATTACCTTCCCAATATCTATGTGTTTACCAATTACTAATTTAAATAAAATCATACAAAACCAAGCAGTCTATAATAATAAAAATAAAAGTGTGCTGTTGACAATTTGGTATTTGCGGCAATATTGTGAATTCGGCATCATTTGGTATTTTTAATAGCGCTGGTCACATTGCTGGCGAACAGGGTGGCCATTCTTACTTTTATGTGTGCATAGTTTTTACTTGCAGTGAACGAAACTACCAAACCAGACGATTTACATAAGCGCCCCGGATAAAAGGCAATAAAAAGAATAAAATATGGCGCAACGTAATCATCGCGTAGATCGTTTTGCGCAAATGAGCAAGCAGGAGGAGATAATTGCCAAAAAGCGCCAGGAAATACTTGAGAAACAGCGTACGGCGCAGCTCGCTAAGGCGGTGGCAGCTGCTCAAACATTGGCTGCCCAATTGAAAACCATTGAGACGGCAACGTCGACGCCAGTGGAGGAATTGGAAGAACATGAGCAGGAGGAAGAGCAGCCACCACCATCGCAAGCTTCACCAACAGCAACGGCGCCAGCCGATGAGGGAAACGGCTTGGAAATAGATAACGGCGATCTAACGGGGTCAACTGCCAAAGCTAAAAACGACGAAAGTACGTCCAAAACGCTCAACAGTTTTACTGGCAAGACGGGCAAAATTACGTTTAGCCTGAAACGGCAACAGCTGCCACAGCCCAGCGTTGAACAGCCGCCACCCAAAGTGAAAAATACCTTTTGTAATGACGGTTCCTTTCTGGAGAACTTTAAGAAAATCCTTGAAAAACACGAACAACCCAAGCCGCCCATTATGGTGGCACCCGTGCCGATGCCAAGGTAAGAAATTGTTGTTCTTGTTTGCAGCGAAATTCCTTAACACTCAGTCTCCACACAGCACTGAGGAAAATATCACAGGGGATACCCACACCACCGAAAACAACAGTCCGCAACAGTCGCTGGATCTGGCGGTTAGTACGATAGGGACGAGTGCAGCGGCAGTGATAGCTACTTCCATGGCTGGCAGCATTACAGTATCGAGCGCAGGGCACAATCATTTAACATTTACCATGCCAGTGACGGCAACATCGATGCCGCAGGCTGTGCAACCACCTCCACCACCGCCATTTGCATTCAATCCAACACTTTTGGCACAGGGGCCGCCTCAAATGACAATGCCGGCCTTCTTCCATGGACACCATCATCTGCCTATGCAGCTACATCCCGCTGCAGTGGCACCGCCGCCGCCACCACCACCACCGCCACAGCTGCCCATGTCGTTGGCTAATTTGACGCCAATTTATATGCAATTAGGACCAACTCAGCTGCCGCCCGAATCAGCCATGCATCAGTTGAACGCCATACCGGCTCCCAAAGACTTTGATTTGAATGCTATACCAAAACCGCAGATTAATCTGGAAGCCATACAGATGCCCAATGTAGGTCAGGCGGAGCAGCTGGGTCTGCTGCCGGAGCATGTGACGATCAATCCACCTCCACCGCCTCCGCCTCCTATGCAGTCAGAGGAGCAAGCATCACAGCCGCCGCAGTCACAGCCCCAGCCCCAGCAGCACCAGAATCTGCAGATGCTGCAGCAGATGCAACTGCAAGTGCAGCCACCGACACCTCCAGCAGAAGGTGTGTATTTTTAGTTTGGCAATTGCCTTTGTCTGTTCTGTTCTGTTCTGCCAAAACCCTTATTAACCCATCCAGTAACCTATATCCTATATCCATCATCCTACCATTCAAATTGAAAACTTCCCACATCTCAATTATTTTCATTTTATATATTTTACAAATCGTTGTGCACGATTTTAAAGCAATTTGTGTAGTTTTTTCAGAAACGTGCATACAATTGCCAACGTGCATAGAAAACCTTATCGCACTGGTCGCCGAAAATGGTGAAGATTACGAAGATAAAATACGTTTGCATAGAAGCGAATTGCATCCGGCCTTGTGGTAAATCAGCTGCACATTATCATGCGCAGGGCACTTTAACTATTAAATGGTGGACAGAACTTAAAAGTTACCAGAAAGATCAGGTATTTTCGGTTTGCCGAAGATTTAATACCCTTGCAGACTTCAACATGTAGTTTCAATCTTCGACTGATCGTTCCTATGGGCAAAGTTATTTTTTTATTCCGATATTTCTTGTATATATATTATAGGGATTCAGTCCGATAGACATAGGCGGAATGATTTTCTGTTTAATAAAACTGAAGATAATCTGGGGGACTAGCTTACATAGATTAACGGATGAACAAACGGACATGGCTTCATTGACTGACCTCTTGATATACATATGTATGGTCGGAGATGCCTTCTTGAATGCTTTACAGATTTCGTGTTAAATTAAAAACACCCTCTGCAAGAGTATAGAATTGACTAATAGGTTTACAGTGGCTTAACTATACGGAACTGGACACACCTACGGCTAAGTTTCCAAATTTAAATATTTTAGTTAGTTCTCTGAAGCTCATTAGGCAGGCGTGTTCTGAGCTGGAGATAATAATATTTAGTATGGAAGTCGAATATCTTGTGCAATCGTTTCTGTGGGAGCTATTTGGTATAGGAGTAGTCCGGGTGCTGGCCCATGGCATCGAACTCCACGGATTTGTCCTGATTGAGGTTAAATATGTTAGAGATAAGGGCGCACGCATCACACACATATCACACACTGGCCGTATGTTGCCGTCGCCTTTCAACTGGAGGAGTAAGCTGAAGGATTCTATAAAAGCACACTACTAAATGGGCGCCAAAAAAAAAAACAAACAGATACTCATATAATGTCTTTGTATACTGAATGCAATTGGGCATTTTTCATTGTAAGTTTCACTTCTTCTTTAAAATTTTAAAATAGGTTTCTTTATGATAAGAACTGCGAGCAATATCGAAGCTATCGCTCACAACTGCTCGATTACGAACGCCAGCGCGGCGAGCGAAAGCTTGAGCGGGAGCGGGAGCAGCAGCTAAGCAAGGCACATCAGCAGCAACAACAGCAACAACAACAACAACATCAACAGCAGCAGCAGCAGCAGCAGGAAGACCACAGTAACTCAGCAGCGGACAAATACGATCCGGAATCGGCAATTAGCGCCGATTTTGATTCAGATGATGAGTATATGCGCGGCATGATGGATCGCAATCGCGACAATATTAAGCGTCGCATCGAGTGCCGCAACGAGCTGAGCGACGAGGAGCGACGTGAGCGCGAAGAGGAGGCCGCAATGGCAAATGCCGGCGATCCGCATGAGCTGCACCAGGACGATAGAGAGACCCTGCGGCAGCGCCGCAAGCGAGAGCGCAAAAGTCGCTGGGGCGAGAAGGAGCAGCTGCCGAGCGGTTCAGGTGAGTGAATAGCTCAATAATTGATTAAAATTAAATTAATATCATGTTGTACGATCAACTCCAGGCGCACCAACCAGCTTTGGAAACCAGAACAAGCCCATGCTGAGCACAGTCACGCGCAACGATCCGGCCTTGCTGCAGTACGCACGTCTTAATTATGGGTCCACTCAATTGTCGGAGGACCAATGGAAGCAATGTGAAGAGCACTACAAAGTTAATTTGTTATACCAGGACATGATGCGCAAGCGCCAGGAGATCGATCGCCTGGCTCGAGGCGGAAAGTTCAAATACGAATATGACTCTGATGAGGACGTCGAGGGTGGCACCTGGGAGCACAAGCTGCGTAATGCTGAAATGGAGGCCACACACTTGTGGGCCAATGCGCTAACCAAGCAGAGCGAGGGCAAGCATCACATTGGTGATTTTCTGCCGCCTGAGGAGCTCAAAAAGTTCATGGAGCAGTACGAGGCAAAGAAAAACAATAGGCAGCCGGATTTAAGTGATTACAAGGAGTACAAACTAAAAGAAGATAACATTGGCTTCCAAATGCTACAAAAGCTCGGCTGGAAAGAGGGCCAAGGATTGGGCCAAGACGGTGCCGGCATTGTGGATCCCGTCAACAAGTAAGTGAAGAGAAATTGCTCTCCTCAAATTATAACAAAAGGGTCTTAAGTTCGATTAGTTTGCCCCAAATAAGAAGAGAGCTAAGAACAGTGTATTAAATATCTTAAAGAAGTCTTGTTATTAATGAAAACTTTTATTTGTAGAGCGCCGCAGCGTGACGGCAACCAGGGTCTGGGCGTTGGCAGCGCCGCTCACCCAGAGGATTGCGATAATGAATATGATGCGTATCGCAAGCGCATGATGTTGGCCTATCGCTTTCGACCCAATCCGCTGGTGAGTTTTCGATTGTGTTTACCCGAGCTAAAGATTGTTTTAACTGAGCTTTTCTTTTGCAGAACAATCCACGTCGCGCCTATTACTAAATCACAAATTGCAAGCCACAACGCATAAAAGTACTAACTGATGCTTTATATTTTTTAAGATTCACTTTCTGGACCCGTTCATATTCTAATCACTCTCATAAACACGAATTATAAAGTTCTTATTTATATATAAGTAGTACGTTGACCGCTGACCACAATGAAGATTTGCTGAAGTTCTTTAACTGGATTAGATACCACAAATTGTAGTTGTGTTTATTATTACTCATTATATTTAGACAATATTCATAAGCAGTATTGTTCGTAATCAACTTAAAAGCTATGGCTATAATGTACGCTCTAAGGACTATCAAGTTGTTTGGGGT